GAGTTAGCAAAACTGTGAATACTGTACTCTCCATGAAAGGAGTCCTGTCAAAAGATTAAAGGCTCTGAGAAGTTCTGCAATGAACAAAATGGTTTGATTTTAGCTCATCAGTTATTCACTAATCTTTAAAAATAGGAAAACATATTTCAAGTGACATCCTTAATAAGCACAGTCTCACTGAACAACAGGAGCTGAACAGACTGCTGGAATGTGAAGTTGAACAAAAGTACACGGTCCATCTTTACTCCGGAAATCTTCCCTGACATGCAACCTCGGTTTTCAGGCCTCAGCACAAAAGGACATTTATTAGGTCTACCAGCCGAGGAACGGGGGTCGTTGCTGTCATCAGAGAAAACACTGAATGAAGTAGAGAAGCTGCTTCTTTATAAAGCACAAAGTGCCTTCTACACAAACCATTTCAGACACACCCGTTGTCCATTTGCAACACTGATGAAATTTTATGCTAGTCTTTTTAGTACCTATGGTCCCATTTCTATTTGTACCGTCTCAAGGGAGGCACCACAGAGCTTGGCCCTGGACCACCACAGAGCCTTGCTCCCATCTAACCATCTCCATCTCCCCTTCATCACTCACAACACCTCTAGACATTCTTCCTAAGAGGCCCTCCATGCACGGCCACAACCTTTTGCCTGATGGCTAGAAGTGGCTCTGCAAGGGCTTTGCAAGCTCTGTATCGCTACTGTGCAATGCACCCAGGCTGTGTTACCATCAGGGATCGACAGTGTGACACTCGGACTTGCAAGTGACCATCATGAAGAAGCTTCTACTCATGGCTCTTCAAAGCCAGCGGCAATGGCACACCAAGCAGGCCACCCGAGGAAGCACCGCACTAAGCAGGAGCCAGAGAGACCGAGGGGTAATCTGGTGTAGATATGAGGTGTCCCCCCAAAGCTCATGTGTGAGACAATGCAAGAAGGGTTAGAGGTGAAATGAGTGGTTTGTGAAGAGTCTTGACCCAATTGGTGAACTGGGGAAACGTATATTGGTGGCATCAACACAATTATCTGTGTTTTGGTCTGAACTCCTGTAGCAGGTTCATGGCTTTTTTTCATACTATGTTTCATAAAAAAAAAAATGCAAAAATATGTCATCTGTGCAACAAATAGAAGATATGATAAAAATTAACAAAAACCAAGGACTAGGTACTTACTTAGGCATAAACTTTGCATGAATGATGTTCATGAAAATCAAAAGCAAACGCACACACACAAAAAAAATGTTCATCAGATTCTTCCACCTGCAGTCCCTGCCGAGAGGGACGAACTGAGGGGAAACTGCGGGCTGGTAGGCTGTGGCTGGAGGAGGAGGAGGATCACTAGGGTCATGCCTTTGGGGTGTATATTGGGTAAAATGAGCTTAGTCTCTGCTTCCTGATGTGATGTCTTCAGCCACTTCCCTCCACCACACTCTTCCACCATGATGTTCTGCCTCACCTTGAACCCTGAGGAATGGAGCCTGCTGTCTGTGGACAGAGACCTCTGAAGCCATGAGCTCCCCAATAAACTTGTCCTCCTCTAAAACTGCTCTTGCCAGGTCTTTTAGTTTCACAACAGCAAAAACAACTGACTAGAACAAGGCGAGAGTATGAGCAGAAGCCTTGGTTGAGGTTCCTGTAGGAAGGAATGGGAAAGTTGGTAAGCAAGTGAGCTGGCTTATGGTTGAGGAGTCTTAATAATTCAGTTAGGCCCTGGGCTCTAAGGGCTGGTCCCTGGTTGTCCAGTGCCTGGCCCTGGAATGATTTAGGGCCTGGATGGCAGGAGTCTGATAAAAGGAGCTGGGTCTGGTCTGGATCAGCTAGTTTGCATATCAACGTAGGTTTGCAGGCAAGTGACTTGTTCCTTCTAGGAAGAACTAGGAAGTTTCTCCCTGATGAGGCTCCAGATGCCAGAAGAAAAATAAAGAAGTTAAGAAAATAAATTTCATTTAATTGCACCTCCTAAAACTAGTGAGGGAGTGGTGGTCGTGCCCATTTTTTTTTTTTTTTTAAGATGAGAAAATTGGGCTACTCTGCATCAAATCACTGCCTCAGTCTAAGATGCCATAGGGTTGAGCATGGACCAGCAGCATCAGGGCCTCTTCTAGAACTTGTTAGAAATGCAAAATCCCAGGCCCCTGCTCAGACTAATCAAATCAGACTCTCTGGGAGTACAGTCCAGCACGGTGTGATCTGACAAGCCCTCCAAAAGATTCTGATGCCTATTTAGACTTCCTGGCCAGTGAAATAAAACCCCAAATTCTTGCTCTAAAGCCCATCTGCAGTCAGCAGTTCCTTCTCTTCAAGGTCATCTATATTTTCCCCACTTTCTGCCCCCAGCCATCGCCTACCCTCGGACCTGTCTCTCTCTACCCCGGCTCTGCTTAAGACATTCTAAGCTCCAGGTCCTCCTAACTTCCCCTTGTCCCCCAAACAAGTCCCTCTGGGATGCCCATCACGTCTGCACCCACCGCAGTGCTGTGACATTGTAGATGGTCTACAAATGCTTATGAAAATAGAGTGTGAACCTTGGCACAAATGAGCACAAACGCCACCCGTTCCCTGCAGGGCTCTTGTGGCCGAATGTAAACTGGCTTCTTCTTGATCAACCATTTCTTCTTTATCGCCTCCCACTTTAAAAGGTGGAAGGCCCACGTTGTCACAGTTTCCTTTGAAAACAGGAATACACATACGACCTGGTCCTAGGCCATGAGACAAAAGAAAGAACTGTGCTTTCATCTATGAAAGCTCTGTCTTCCTGGTAAGGAAAGACTAGGACAACAGCTGCCAGGCTCTTTATCTTCTTCCTGTTTTGAATGCAGACATGGTGGTAGGAGCATCAGCAACCATCTTGGAAACATGAAGGATGGGTAGAGTGAACTACAGAGATATTCAGACCTGACATTAGAGAGCTACTGCTCCAACTCCACCAACCACTTATGCCTGGGCTTATCTACAGAGGCAATCGTTCCGAAGCTGCTGTGAGGGGGGTTTCTATCACTACAGCTCAGACGCAGTCCTAGCTGAATACACTGATGATGGACAATCACATTTTAAGGTGAATCTCATTCTGAGTAAAGGTACAATTATTCGATGTTCTTGGAATTTCCAATAGTTCCTCCAGTCTTAAAATCATTAGAGCAATGATTGGCTTTTTCCTAAAATTTCTCAAATGATATTAAGCTGTACAGGAGTGAGACTGGAGGAGAGGTTTGGGAGTGTCACTGAGAAAGGTTTTCTGAAGGAAATGGGCATGGCAGACCTTGGAGGCTGGGAATATCTACCAGGCAGAGACCTGGGGGAAGGGCTGAAATAGTGGAGAATCTCTCAGAAGCTATCCCTTAGCAGCAACAAAAAGCTATTTAAAAAGAGAATTAAGTTAAGGACAGGAAGACTGTCTTGGAAGTCAGGGGACAGGAGAGGGGAAAAGGAGTGGCAGAGTTATTCTAATGTTGGGACAAATCTGTTTTGAAAACAATGATACAACAGAACTAATTTGGGCCCAGAGAATGTTTAGATTAACAAACAAACCAAAAAATCCCTACTGGTTTCTAGACAAAGGCACCCATAAGACAAAAACAGAATCCTGTGAAAAAGGTAGAATCAGGAAAAAAATACTTCAGAAAGGAAATTATATTAGACGTTCCAGGAAATGGAGGAAGAGGGGAAAACAGAATGAGAAAGTATGAAAGAGAAAGAGAGAAAAAAAAAACAATTTTCACAGAGCTGACAAAATACACAATCCTCTAGCTGAAAGGGTCCTAGGCTGTCAGGCCACAGTGAAAAATAAGGAAGAGATCCTGAAAGGTCTTCTGGAAAGCAGAATTTATTGGCAATAATCGATGCTGGAATATAACAAAGCAATACCAAAATCCTGATGGAAAATACCAAAATCCTGAAGGAAAATTCACCTGATCTAAAAATTTTTATTATGTTAATGTATAGAGACAAAATCATGTTTAGATGATGTCCTTTTCTGAGAAAGTTCCTCAAGGATGTACTCCAGAAAAAAAAAAGATAAAAATACACTCCCTTAAGAAATGCTATATGGTATATATGTGTATATATGCTATATATGTGTATTAAGAACTGTAATGCAAAAAAAGTACATGTATAATGGCATAATTTGACGTGAATATACTTTAATACAGAGTTATGAAAAACTGTGCTGTATATATGTAATAATGAGTGTAATGCATTCCACTATTGTCACGTATTTTAAAAAATAATAAATAAATAAGAAATGCTAGAACTAACCCAGGTCCAGCACAAAGAAATCTCAGGATGTTAGACCTACAGGAGGCTTAGAGAGCAGTAAATCCAAATTAGAATTCAGCAGACTCCAAGATGAACAAAGCTATAAAAATACCAGATGGGATGAGTAAACTGGAAGATAGGAAGGCATATAATTTTTGTGATAGGAAAAACAAGACAGTCCAGGCAAAAAAAAAATACCCAAGAAAGTTAGGATTCATACAGGGATCAAAGTAATGTGTGATTGAACAATTTACAGAATGCAAGAAAACAGAAGCCATCTGGCCTTGGTAGGAGGTAAGTTTTCCTTTATGTAGAACAAGTATCCTGACAGAGAAGGAAATGGAATCAACATGTCACTTAGGTCCCCCATGAACAGTCTGCAAGTAGCCACAGTAGAAGTATTTAATGGACTTTAAACTTGTAGACTGAGCCTTTGGACAAAGCAATGAGGATCTTATCATGATTCCAGGAGGGAATGAATATAAACTTTATGGACCTTCAAAATGTAAAAAAAAAAAAAAAAAAAACTTATATATATATATATATATCAAAGGAAGAATTTGAAAGGGGGAAGAAGGAAAAGAAAGACGGAGAGAAAATAACATGAACAGCTGACAAAAGCAAAAGGTGGAAAAGAAGAGGGGAGGGAAGGGGTAGAAGAGCACCAGTCCTCAGCACTCACTAAAGCCAGTCCAGGGACACACCACTATTCTGGCAAATGCAGAGAGATTTAAATAGAAGGGAAATGATAATGCAGCAATTTAAGAGATGGGTAATGGAAAGACTGAGGATCATATCATGGAATTAAAACCTTATCTCACCAGAAGGAAGTAACCCAGTGAGCTACAAATGTGTGTGTGTGTGTGTGCGCGCACGCGCGCGTGCGTGCACATGCAATAGTAGAAGAATATTATTTTGAGATGTGGAGATTAACAAGCAGAGGAACTAAAAACAGAAGCCATTGAAGCAGCGGTGTGGTCCAAGGAGCAGGACTGGGAGATGGATCCGGTCGGGATGGCTAATTCGCTTTTATTACACACTCTTCTTTACTACTTGATTTTTCAAAAAACCATGTGCGACATTTTTGTTTTTTAAAGGACGATCTCCAAAACTCTGTAAGTATGTAAAGTAAGTATGCCTATTCACTGCTCTGGAAGTACTATTTGGTACATGAGGGCAACTCGGCAATATATATATTAAAAGAGAGGTAGACAATAGAAGGTAGAAGGTAATAAGTCATTTAATTCGAAGAATTCACTTTCAACAAATAATTAAGGATGGAGAAAAATATCATCAGAACTTCTCTATATTTGTATGTATATTTGTATGAAGGTCTATATTTGTATGTCATCTTTTGTCCCCATCCTTTTATAGAATGGATATAGATTTATCCATAGATAAGTCTGTCCATGGATATGAAAATATCCATACTGAGAAGGAGTGGGGGCAAAAGTCCATTTATTTAAAGACTCTAAAGGGGGTTATTTATGTAAATGGACTTTCATCTAAGTAACTAAAATGATGACCTTTATCCGACAGACAGTTAAGCTACTACAGATCTATCAGGTGCTAATGGGCAAGCTCCCAATCTACCCCTATGGACTGTAGACAGAGTAAAAAGAAAAGTTACAAATAGGTATATGCTGAGGAAAACCAAGTACAATGTATTGTCAAGGGGGCTGCCAGGGCCCCGGGGAAGGGGCGTTATGGTCTCAACTCTAACCTGTGTAGAGTTTCAGCTGAACAAGGTAAAACAAAAAGGTTCTGCTTGGGAGCAAGCACAGCAATGGGACTGTTGAACACCACGGAAGCAGGCACCTCAAGATGGCTAGGAGGGTGGATTTTATGTTGTATGTATTTTGGAATGATTTATAATTTTTTTTGAACATTTTAAAATAAAAAGTCAATATGCTTCAAAATAATGTAAACAGGAATATATTGTATACATATGACAAATTTATGAAAAAAATCAAATTACAAATGATATATCTTAATATTCCTAAGGTGAACCACATGACTACATTTGTACAAGGAGTTTTTTTTAAAGTGTTGGATCAATTTTAGATTCTGTTCAAATGGCACTTTTCCCCTAGTCCCCCAAATGGGAATTTTCTTGCTCGTTCTAAAAGTGTTAGGGTCTGTAAACAAGTCTGGATGGCGCCTGGCATTTTGCCAGAGGGAGTGGTTTGTGAAGTAATGCCAGCGAGCCATTAAGTGTGGAGATTCCTTATTGGTTGACTGCTGTATCTAATTTATGTTAATTAAGATAAGCTGTGTGGAATGTATATATACCCCTCCTGTCCTACAATAAATGGCTTCCACTCCTGCTGTATAAATGTACACAAGTTCCTCATCACCCGCCCCCCGGGTTATTTTGCTGCAGCCGGACTGCGGCAAAAAGTATTATTTTAAAATCTCGAATCCTACCAACTCTTCATTGTTCTCTGAATCCTTCTGACAATATGAATCTTTCCCAAAGAGGTTTTTCTGTCTGGGATTAATATTCCCTTCTCAAAAAAAAAAAAAAAAAAAAAAACTTAAACTTCAAATGTCCTGACTAAATCTTTAAATATAAGACTTCTTGTATCCTCCAAATAATTTATGCTCCTTTGGAATGGGGGGAAATATATATATATACATACATACATATACATATATATATATAGCAAACAAATATATATATCATAACATATAAATACATATATTATATATCGAGAGATAACCCCCTATAAGCATGCATTTTTAAGTGTCTTTCTGGTTTCTTAATCTCTCACAGTTTATGTTAACATGGAACAGGGCTGTGAAGAAGGGGTTTTCCCACGAGTTAGGAATAAAACTTTGATGGTCCTGGTGTTATCAGATCTCTGCAGTTGCTGTGAGCTGAAGGGTGTCCCCTCGAAAATTCCACACAATGAGAACCTCAGATTGGAGACAGGGGTATTAATTAAGTGGTCTTTAGGGTATACCCTAATCCAATATGACTGGTGTCCCTAGAAGAAGAGGACATTAGGACACACACATAGGAAGGCTGGGGGAGATCAGCAGAATATGCAGGGAGAAGGTACCACCTACAACCAAAGAGAGAGCCCTTGGAGAAGACCAACCCTGCCGACCTCTTGACCGTGGGCCCCAGAAGCATCAGAACCTACTGTGTATTGGTTAGCTCAGAACCTACTGTGTGTTGGTTAAGACTCCCTCATCTGGTCCTTTGATGGGGCAGCCCAAGCTGACTCATCGGGAGCATCTACTTCATTCTCCATTAACGCTCTCACTGTCACTGTGCTGAGGGCTTTGGAACCTTTGTGGTTTCAGGGGTTGTTTACCTTGAGACCATGGAGCCATAGAATAGTCGAAAGTGTCCATGCAGTCAAAAAAAAAATTAGCTCAAAAGGAATCAAAAACCTAGGAAATAGACCAGGGAAGCCACATAACTTCTAGAAAAAAATGTAGGATCAACATTCCAGCACACAGGCACAGGTGGTGACTTTCTCAATAGGACCCCCTAAAGCTCAGGAAATAATGCCAAGAGTTAATAAACGGGATGGCATCAAATTACAAAGCTTCTGCACAGGAAAGGAAAGCATTAGGAATGTAAAGGAAGAACCTACAGAATGGGAGAAAAATCCTTGCTAGCTACTCTTCTGACAGAAGATTACTATCTAGACTATATAAAGAAATTTTAAAAATTGAACACTAAAAAAAAATCAAATAATCCAATTAATAAATAGGCCAATGAATTCAACAGGCACTTCTCAAAAGAAGAAATACAATGGTCAACAAACATGGGAAAAAATTCAGGAATTTTTTTAACCAAGTCAAAAGTTAGGGAAATGAGCAGTTAGGGAAATGAAATCGAAACTACACTGAGATTTCATCTCACAACAGCAGAATGGCAGTCCTCAAAAGTACAAAGAATAATTGATGCTAGAGAGGATGTAGAGAAAAAGGAAAGCTTTTACACTGTTGGTGGTAGTGTAAATTAGTACAACCAGTGTGGAAACGGGTATGGAGGTTCCTCAGAAGAGGAGGCCTAGAAGCATCATATGATCCAGCTGTGCCACTCCTTAGCATTTATCCTGAAGAATTAAAGTCATCACACAACAGTGATCCCATGCATACCTATAGTTATAGCAGCACAATTCACAATAGCCAAATTATGGAACCAGCCTAGGTGTCCATCAACAGATAAGTAGATTAAAAAATAAATCTCTCTCTCTCTCTCTCTCTCTCTCTCTCTCTCTCTCTCTCTCTCTCTCTCTCCACACACACACACACACACACACTAGAGACCATCATGTTAAGCCAAAGAAGCCAAACTCAGTCAAGGCTCATATGTTTTCTCTCATATATGGAAACTAGAGATGAAAAAATAATAGAAAGATGGGGTCTCCAGAAAATCAAAGGGAGCTCAGTAAAGGAGATGGAGCAGGGAGTGGGAAATGGGGAGGGAGGGGAAGTGCTGGAGAATGACACTAGCCAGATTATATTGTTATTCTGCGTGCAAATATGAATCCCGCCATTATGTGCAACTATAATGCACCAAGTAAAACAAATGTGGAAAGAGGAAAAAAGTGTCAGTGCACTAACCACATTATCCCTCGGCTTGTGGTTTTGCTACCTTGTTTTTCAGAGCTCACAGTGCTATTCTGGTCGGTGACCAATAGAACAGCTGTAAACATATGAAAAATGTCCCTTTAATGAAAGGGATTGAATATCTCAGGTTGTTGCATTTTTGCATGTGCTGCAGATGGAACCCAGGGCTTTGTGCGTGCTAAGCAGGGACTCTACCACTGAGCTACATGTCCAGCTAGCACCCGAAGGTGAAGAAATTCCAAGCCCTCCTTCTGAGTATTTTCCCTGATATGTGTCATTGACAAAAGGTCCCCTGAGGTGGAACTTAAGTATAATTCTCTCTAATGTGTGAGGATGGACTCAATGACTTGCCAAGGTCTTTTTTTGGCCCGTGGCTCTGGGTACGGTTTTAAAAATAAACCTATGGTTAAGTCCAGCGGAAAGTGGCTTGTAAATATAGGTCTCCAAGGTACAAGTGACACTGAAAATGACAAAATATCTCAGTGCACAATTCCTGTATGACTTGCAAATTTTTGCCTTGGGAAGGAAGCAGTCTGGGATGCAGGTACAGGACTGTGGACACAATTCACTACCACAGAGGCGAAGACCACAAATGTAGACCGTCCACTCCCATCCTGTCCTTGGCATTGGGTAGAAGTACAAGAGATCCACACAATGTTACAGCTGTCCCTTGGTATCCACAGGGGATTGTTTCCAGGACCCCTCCCCATATCAAAATCCACACATGTTCAAGTCTCTTATATAAAATAAAATGTATAATTTCTGCATGCAACATAAGTACAACCTCCTGTATACTTTGAATCATTTCTCTGTTACTTAAAATAACTAATACAGTATAAATGCTACTTGACTAATTCTTCCACTGTATTGTTTAGGGAATACTGGTAAGAAAGAAAAATCAGACATACTTAGAACTGATGCGGTTTCTTTTTCAAATGTTGATTGGCAGTTGGCTGAACCTATGGATGCAATAAGCTGGCTGTATTTTGGTAAGGCTACTTACTATTCCCTGATTACTTCATGAGACAGCAGAGAAGCCCATGACTAAACAAAATGAATGCCAGCGCTTTGTGGTCCCCCTTCTAGTGTCCCCGCCTGTGCCCCAGAACCTCAAATGTACTCTGAATAAATGCGGTTCCCCTTCTTAAAACTGTGACCTGTCATGGTGCCTTGGAGACAAAAGGTGGACATTCCAGATCCTTCCACTCACTTCTAGTAATCCCTCCTTCTTTCTCAAGTGTAACTCAATCCCAAGATACTGTTAGAGGGATTTCTATCACAATAGTTTTGTCCCAAAAGTTTACTGGTAATATTCTATCCCCTTCTAATGCTGATGATGAAGCCTTGGATTAAACTAATTCTTTCAATTCTGCCTGTTCAGATATACAATTTTTCTCTTTATCTATAAAATTCTAGCATTTTACCAGGAAATATTGGTTTTTGAAACATTCACTAACTCCCCCTGACTTTTCAACTTTTCTTCTTTACTTTTATTTAACTACGATTTCTCTTCTATCTAGCTTCCTCTCCTCTGGGTCCTCTTGTGACTCATGTTAAGCCTCTTGAATCTGTCTTCCAAGATTCTTGTCTTTTCCCTCCAAGTATCTTTCTTCTGTGGAATAAATAATTTGCTTCCCTTGGTTTTCCAGAAGAGCAATTATGTTCCTAGCACTAATCATGTTTTTACCATATCTGGGGGGAAAAAAATTGTAATGTGGAAATAATGCTCTTAATTTTAAAAAGTCTTTTTTATTTATTTACTTTGCACTATAATTATACTTCCTAATGCATTTTAAAACTTCCCTTCCATCTCTTTGTTTGCTCCTGCTTCAACAGGAATGGTGCTCTCTAGTTGAGAAAGACCTCCTCTGAGCTGTGGTGCATCTCTGCCTAGTCACAATCAGTCCTTCTTCAGGAACCATACCAGTGAGGCCACAGGTGATGAGCAGTGGAGCAAGAGTTAGAACTGAACAGCTTATCATGGGCCGGTATGAAGGAGTGAGGTGAGGCACTAGAATATACTAGATGTAAATGCTAATCACTGCCTAATCATAAAGTGTAATTCAGACCTCAGATTGGATCCACTTTCAATCTCTTTTTGCCAACAGAATCAAATCGCTCCTTCCAGACAGCCTTGAGTCTTAAGGAAAGTAACATACAAGCATCTCAGTTCATACCAGTTGAAAGAGAGGAAGGAAGGAAGGAAGGAAGGAAGGAAGGAAGGAAGGGAGGGAGGGAGGGAGGGAAAGGACAGAGGGAGGGAGGGAAGGAGGGAGATAGGGAAGGAGGAAGGAGGGGTTGGGGGAGAAAAACACAAAGAGAAAAATACGGAGCCCAGCACTGTCCTTCATTTTTGGATATCCTATACAAAATCCTGGCCTCAGACACAAACTCAGACAAGTCTCTATCCCCCTAATGTCTCAAGTCTGCTTCTCTCTGGGTGGGGCCCATTCTTTGGAAGACTTCCTCTCACAGTCCTAAGATGATGCCCATAGCTCCACATAGAAAGCCTATCTGCTCAGGAGTCCCACATGCCCTGCCAGTATCTTCAACCACTACCCAGGAGGTAAAATTTGTTTTCATCCCCTTGAATCTGGGAAGGTCTCTGTGATAGCCTTATCAAACAAAATGTGTCAGAAATGAAAGACATCCCAGGTGAGGTTATAGAGAGGTCACCTAGCGGCCATGTTGTGAGGAAGCACAAGTCACACACAGTGGCCACATGTGAGTACGCAGCCAACAGCTCTACCTAAGGTCTAAACTGATAGCCAACAAGAAAGAACAGTGTAGAAGCATTTAAACAGAAGTCTCCACATTTCAACCATTGTAGCCCTTGTGGGTCCAATAAAAATGAGCTGTTCTTCATATACCCTAACCAAACACCAGATTCCTGAGGAAAATAAGTGTCATTGCTATTTGAGCCACTTGTTTTGGGGTGATTTGTTACATTGCATTATATAACCTAAACAGCCACCATTTCATCTGTTCACCATGCTGTTCCAGAGGTTGAACGAGGGGAATCAGGGACATGCACACTGACCACAGGTGATGAGCAGTGGAACAAGAGTTAGAACTGAACAGCTTCTCATGGGCCGGTGTTGAAGGAGTGAGGTGAGGCACTAGAATATACTAGATGTAAATGCTAATCACTGCCTAATCACAAAGTGTAATTCAGACCTCAGACTGAATCTACTTTCAATCTCACAGATCTCAGAATCCCCCAGATTTAATTTGTATTTTGTTGTGTAAATTTCCTGTTTCAAGGACTCAGTATTCCTCTTTGGTCTTAGGAGTGGCTTTGAGAAGGTGCTGGAACCATCTGCCTCTTTGGTACTTCAAAGACTGTCAGTGAGAGGTATAATGGGAAGAAACTGACATAATACAACAATTTCATTTCATAAAAATATACTTAGCGAAAGAAGACATTCTAAATGTTATGTCATTTCTCAGGTTGAGACTCAAAACATCTGGAGTTATCTCATTGAATGACATTAGATTTTATAAATTTTAGGCAAAAAAAAAAAAAAAAACACTCTAGGTGAATTCACTTAACTAGGTCAAGGAATTTTAGAAATGTGGTGTAATAGGATTAGCAGTCAGGAATCCTTGTTTCTCACTGGGCTATTTCCAAGTGGTTCACTCTGCAGTGAAGCTGTTTAGCTCCTGAGGGTCTAGTTCTGTTGACTGTTAAAGAAGAAAATTAAGCATAATGATCTTAAAAGATCGGCTAGTTCAGTTGTTCCTTGGAAGTTTAATGAATATTCATATGTAGATATCAATAACATGCTGTGCATCCAACCCCATCATTTCCCAGATGAAAAAACTGATGAGAACTTGAGAGATTAACAGACCAGAAAGAGATCAGGACCCAAGTAAAGAAGAATTCCTACCACCAGAACAATGTGCCATGGTAACACTCTGCCCATGGGAAATCCATCTGCATGTTTTCAATATATTGCACCTTCTGCTCCAAAGAGCACTGAAGAGCCTTTGTTATCAACCTCAGAAGCAAGAGAAATATAACGACAGTAGCTGGAAACAAATTAACTTGATGACCAAGAAGTCTGAAGGAAGAGTAGGCCTTGGTGGCACTAAGGACATCACTGGGACATGGTCCTGCTCCCTGCATGGCTCAGGTCTGCTTTCTTAGCGGGCCCCACTATTTGGCAGACTTCCTCTCATGGTCCTAAGATGGCTGCCTATGCTCCAGAATGAAAGCCTATTTGCTCAGGAATCCTAATAGAAGGAGATTCTCCTCCCAGCAGATCCAGAAAAGACCTACAACCAAGTATTACCAACTGTGGTAGGCAGAATAATGCCCCTAAAGATATCCACATTCTAATTTCCAGAACCTGTGACTATGACCACATTATATGACAAAAGGGATTTGCAGATTTGATGAAGGACCTTGAGATAAAAGAAATGCCCTGGATCATCCAGGTGAGTCCAATGTCACCAAGGAGCCTTAAAAGTAGAAACTAACGGCCCAGAGGGTGAGATGTGACTACAGAAGTAGTCAGATTGATAAAATGTGAGGAGGACTGAGCCCGCTGCTGCTGGCACTGAAGATAGAGCAAGAGGCCATGTGGACACTGGTCAGGCTCCAGAAGCCTGGAGAGCAAGGACTAGTTCCTCCTAGAGGCTCCAGAGAGGAACTCTGCCTTACTAACACCTTGACATTAACTCTGTGAAATGTCTGATCTAGCCTCCAGAACTGTGAGATAATGAATCATGAGATAATAAATCTATGTTAATTTAGAAGACACTAAGCTTACGGTAAACTGTTACATATTGCTAACAATATAGCTGTACCACATACACGTGCATATATATACTGCTGTAACACTTTACCACAAACTCAGCATCACACACACAAACATACTCACCCTGACTGATCTAATCTGGTTCACTCACTTTGCCTGAAACGATGGTTCATAAAATCCAAATAACGTGTGCATTAGTCCGCTTTCCATGACTAGAATGAAATGCCTGAGAAAATGCTTATTGAAAGGACTCCTTGTAAAGAGAAAAAAAGACTAATTTGGCTCCCTGTTTTTGAGGTTCCAGTCCACGCTTGGTCAACCTTGTGGTTTGAGGCCTATGACAAGTCATAGTGGGAATGTATGGCAGAACAAAACCACTCACCCCATGATCAGGAAGCAAAGAGAGAGGAAGGGGCCAAGCCCCCCCAACCCCCTTCAAAGACACACCTCTAATGACTTAATAACTTCTCAGGAGGCCCCACCTCCTATAGGTTCCTCAACCTCCCCGGAGCACCCACCCCGAGAACAAAGCTTTTAGGGGACTTCTGATGTCCTATCTACTACAATAGTACACCCCTAAATCTGAGGGTGTCACCAGTCTCACTTAGATGACATGGCCCAAGAGCTGGAAGAAAAGGTTCCTTGAAGCAAAGCAGAGGGCTATCCCCAGAGGAATGGGGAATGGAAAAACAACAAAACAAAAAACACAAATGGAACATGAGGGTCCACGGGTAGAGGGCAGTAAATAATAGGAGTGAGTTTTCCAGACAGTCTTTTGACAATTAACTGAGTACATCTTGCATATGCTACAGAGACTATATTTGTCAAGAGCCTCATGAAACTGACTGTGAATCCTTCAAAGCACAGATTGGCAGAAGGCAGGTAGAGACACATAGTTGTATAAACGTGTAGAGCTGGATAACGTAAATGCACTCACTGTTAATTCTTGCTTTCTGTATTCATGATGCTCTGGAATTTAGGATCTTATAGACCCAGGGTTAACTAATTCCTACAGGTAACAAACAACTCATGTGTCAGCATGCCTCGGATGTGCAAACCAACTAATCCAGAATCTATACCCTCTGCCAGTCCATCAGACGTCAACAGGGAATGCTATTCCTTTGCTCCAAACCCTACAGGGCAGGAATCAGATCTCTGGGGACCACACCTGAACCCCGCTGCAACTGTTCAAACTATTCAGTCACACGTCTGTACCACTGGCTTCCTAGCTTTACCCACACCTTCCTGTGCAATCTGCAATCAAGGCTCCCGCTCGCTGCTCCCCTCCCACTCTGCCTGCTCATCCCGGTTTCCCACGCAGCCATGCATGTTGTGCTGTGCCTCACGCTTTTAGTGGCTGTGAATATGATAAAAACTTCTTCCCCTTTTTCCTTCCTGACCATCATCTTCTCTTCTGAATCTTTCACCAGCTCAAAACAAGTTCTGGTGCATTAGTAGAACAGGAGATGACAGGTAGTACTCAAAAGGACAGTAAGCTGGGGCAGCTCAGGAAGTACCAAAGGAAAGTACCAGAAGTGTCAGGGAACCATCAGCAGTCCCTGGTGCCAACCCAAAGTATGAACAGCAAAGCAATCTTGAAATTTTGAGTAATGATAATAAGATAGTCTGTTGGCCCCGACCAGACCTGATGGCATAATGGACTCAGACCAGACAGAGGAGGGCAGTTCTATTCTAGGCCTTACGAAAGGGTCCTGCATTAGTCCACAAGGGTGGCAGAAACCGGGTGGCTCTTCTTGTGTCTTCATATCACCTTCCATCAGGTCATATCTGTTTCTGTGTCCAAATGTCTCCTGTCTATTGAGACACAGTCACGCGGTTTAGGATCCACCCTAATGACTTCGTCTTAACCTGATCTTCAGCAAAGACCCCATTTTCAAATGATGTACTATTCACAGGTATTGAGGGTTAGGCTTTCAACACCTTTTGAGGGGACACAACCCATAGCAGCTCCTGATCTATACCGGGTTCTTTTTCTTTAATTCACCCCCCTGCCCCTCATGCAACTTTCAGAGTAAAACTCAAAATGCCAAGATAAGGCCGTGGGCTTAAACTGTGGGGAAAGTGTCTGAGACAGTTGACATTCAGCCTAGGGTTGGTTCAACACTGCGGGATCCTGGTCAACACAGTCACTACCCTGGCCAGCAACTGAGGCGAGGGGAGTGGGGTTTCCTAGCCTCCTTGGCTCCTGAGAATAGTCAGTAGGGGACTCTAGCTGTGGACTACAGAGTCCCATCACAACTAACAGGGCAGGCAAGTAAAGGAAGGGAATAGGATATGGCCACTGTGTGCAGGGTTCCCCTTTTTGGCTGACCTGCATGTTTGTAGAATAGCAAAATTTCCATTCATAGGGATTCTGTGCCCACACACCATGGGCTAATACATAGCCAAAAGCTTACTACAACTTGGCATGAGATTTACTCCTTTTCTTTCTTCTAAGCGTGAGTAAATTCTGACATCTTAAAATATACCTCCAAGAGAACCTACTGGGTCCCTTGTGCAAGGAACACGGGTAGTAAAAGGAGATACAGAATCAGTGGCAATCCAGCCTGCTAACGGTGGCTGAGTGCATCTTAGTGACCCTATCCCCTTAAAAGCAGATCTTGTCTCAAATCACAAATAATCTTCAGCAAAGTCTGGTGATATCTACTGAATAAATCTACAAGTGGCCCCTGGAATGGATATAAACAAACATATAATATGAACAACTGAAGCAATTCAGCTTGTGGACAGATAAGTATACTGTTAGAGGAAACTCATTTCCTAAAAGTCACCTAGCTTCTAGCCATTGCAGATACCAGGACAGCTACAATGGGAAGTCCCTGTTTTCTCTATATAAGAATACAAATCCATTCTAATAAAAAAGGAAAATACTCCAAAAGCACATATTTGAAAGCAAGTATCTGTGACCATGAGAGAGACAGGCCAGGGTCATCTCGCCACTGCCTGGTTCCCCAGGGTCACGCATGCCTATGGATAGGGCATTGTTCAGACTGACTGAAATACAGACAGCCTTGAACAGCAGTTGGAAGGAACACCATGAGCTGGGCATTCACTCCATGGTGTATGTTTTTTTTTTTTTTTTGGTGGTGCTGGGGATTGAACCCAGGGCCTAGTGCATGCGAGGCAAGCACTCTACCAATTGAGCTATTTCCCCGGCACAATGTCAGGATTTTTGACAAACCATTCCCTCCTAACATTTTAATCTAAAATACATTCATCCCTTAGTATCTTCACGGAACTGCTTTCAGGATAGACACCAAACATCTGGATGCTCAAATTCTTTAAATGGTGTAGTATTTGGATAAAACCTACACATATCCTCCAGTTTACTTAAATTCAATCCTAGATTATTTATGATACTTAATATACAATAATATATAGATGTTATATAAACTATTGTTGCACTGTTTAGGAAATAATGACAAGAAAAAAGTCTGTATGTGTTCGGTACAGATGGATTTTTTTTTTCAATAGTTTGATCCAAGGTTAGTTGAAACCACAGTTATAGAACCACTAGATACAGAGGGCTGACAGATTCAAACTTAATATGTAATCCATCCTAAACTGTAGATTCTCCAAATCTTCCTCAGTAGGTCAGCAGTTAATGAACCCCCCCCGGGGGGCGGGGCAGGGGGAGTCTATTGAGGGTCCTACCAATGTAGAACCTAGTAAAAGGATAAACCTGCCTTTTCTGATGGGGCTGATACATAGTTAATTAAGTTCCTGAGTTCCCTGAGATGACTTTTGGTATACTGAGGTAGTTCATCCTTTGCTCCCTTAAAATGCCACAGTTTAACATTCCACACTTTGGTGGACTACAACTATCCTCTATTAGACCTCATCAGCCATGTGGGCCCCTGAAGGAAGGATGTTACCAAGTCCTCCCAGGAGAATAAGGCTGAAAGCTAGGACAGGGATGGGTTGCCAGGGACTTACAGACCTACAGTCTAGTTAGTGGTACATGGAACAAGGGTTCAAGGGGATGAGGCAAAGGTGTTTTTTTTTTTTTTTTTTTTTTTTTTTAAAAAAAAAAAAAAAAGAGAGAGAGAGAGAGAGAGGTAGAGAAAAGACAGTTTGCTTGGGAGGAAAAAAAGGCAGAAACTGTACCAGCAAAGTATTATCATGGGTAGGGTCTTCATTAGTTTAAAAAAAAAAAAATACTTTCATTAAGCTCTCCCTAAGCACAAGAGTGAAAGCTCAACATTCATTTAACTTTTGCAAACACCCTGAGGTCAGACTATTAATAACATCATTTTATTGATAGGGAAATTGAGGTTTTAGCAAGCTGACTTTACTTGCCCAAGGTCACAAAGCTTGGAGAAGCAGATTGGAAACCCAGTCTGACCTTAGAGGCTACTTTCATAGCTTCTGCATGATAATAGCTTTGCAAAGTTTAGAAATGCTGGCAATCCCTGAAGTGCCTTCTAAATAAAAACTTCTACAGTGGAAGAGAGTGAGGAAAGGTATGCAAAAATAAACTTCACCTACTTCACATTTGCCTAGGGCCAAATTTCAATATTTCTATATATAGTCTTACTCCTTTAAAAAAAAAATGCAGAAATTTATTGCTCTCAGGCAACCTGTAGAAGGGCGGAGAGGAAGAGCATTTGCCTCCCAAGCTCAATAGACTTGTTTCATCTGTCCTCAAATCACCAGATGTAGCCACCCCACAGCCACTATGGCAACTCCCATCCCCACAGCCAGAGCTGACTGGACAGAGGAGAATGTATGATTCACTCTTGGGATTTTAAAATAGGAAAGAAAAGTTAATTGCAGGTGGACCTATAAGAGCTAGTGGCTTTAGGCCATCTGCAGAGAAATCTGTAGGAAAAGAAGTGGGGGGGACTCAGAAAGACAGATAGACATGGGAGACAAGGCCCCTTAGCTATGCAGAGACCTTGGCTCCTGATGGTGGCTGATCTCCAATGCACAGGTGCCAGGCCACTGTTAGGACTCAGCATACTAAACATGCCTACTCTCCAGCAGCTTGAGGATTTGTGTGTGTGTGTCTTATTTTCCTTTTGCCACCCAAGGTCTTACTGGTGCTCCTCCACAAATGCAGCTATTTTATACACACAACCTGCCCCCAGGCATTTCAAAGTCTATGTCCACATTCTGTTATATGCTTATTTATACAAAAGCAACTTATATTTAGTGCCAG